ATGTTCAACTTGTGGTCCACCTGGATTCCTAGATCCCTTTCACATGGGTGACAGATCCCATTCATTTCTTCACATACCATATCTCCATGTGTCAATTCTGCACACACACAGAAAGCTGTTGAAATGGCTGACTCTGTAAAAGTTGGTTTCTCCCACATTCAGATTTTTAATATTCAAGACGTTTCCATCCTGTTTATGAAGAAATTAATTTCCTATAAAAGATGACCTGAATTGAATCCTCAACAGTCTACGCTAACCAAATTCAATAGGCAAAACTATTCCTAGTATGAGGAGGGTCATGTTCTGTCTTCCTAAAAAATTATGAGCCTGTTTATAAAAGAGATGGCATCACAAGCATAGCCAAATACAAAGCCAGACTTTTAAGAGGCCTCTAGAATCATGCATCATCCTTTTCCTGCTCCTTTTCTTTGTTCATTTATATCCTTCCTTTCCCCCAAAACTGGGACCCAAAATACATGAGTAAAAACATAAGAAACAATTATTATTAAAATGCAATTAAACTATCCATAGAATTAAAACCATTTAAAACAAATCCATGAAAGACAAACATTGGTACATTCAGCCCTCCTTTTTTGCAGGGGATCTATTCCGGACCGCCTCCCTCCCCCCCAAAAAAACAGAATCCCTAATATTTAAGCCCCATAGGCTTGAATGGGACGTGCTCTCATACACCCATGGGAGCTCATGTCATTGACTTTAATGGAAGTTGCCCCTCTGTGAATATTCAAAACTGCAGACCTTAAGTCCATGAGAGCAGAGGGGTGGCTGTAAAACTAGTTAAAGCCATTGCAATCAGATCTTCAGATGGTGCTGTGTACCTTCAAGTCATGTCCAACTTATGACAACCCTAAGGTTAACCTATCACAGGGTTTTCATGGCAAGATTTGTTCAAAGGGAGTTTGCCTTTGTCTTCCTCTGAGAGAATGTCACTTGCCCAAGGTCGCTTGAGTGGGTTTCCATGCCAGAGCAGGGATTTGAACCCTGATTTCCAGAGTCATAATCAACGTTCAAACCACCACACCACACTGATATTGTTCTTCAAATAGCCTGGATTTGAGCCATATAAAGCTTTACAGGTCATAACCAGCACTTTGACTTGTGCCCAGAAATGAACTGGCAGCCAATGGAGCAGATGCAACAAGGGAGTTCTGTGTTCCCTGTAACCAGCCTCAGTTATGTGATTGAAACTGCACATGTTCTAGTACCTCACTCCACAGGGGAATGTTGGAAACTAGCTGGTGGTTGTCCAAATTGGTGGGATCCAGAGGAGGCTTTTTTTAGTAGAAATCTTACAACTGTCTCCTTCAGGCATGTTGGGGACTTGCCTTGCTACAAGGAGGCATATTCACCACTCCTTTTACTATTTTTTCTTCTTTAATGAGCCAGGAGAGGCAAGGATTTAGAACACACATGGTGGCTCTCAGACTTCAAAGGGTTTTTTGTTTTGGTTTTTGGCAATAGGTGCCACACTTTAAAAGGGCAATCCCTCTCAAGCATAGAGATGGCTTCCCTGTGATAGTAGTGTGTATAGGTGCTTAGGGTTGAGGCAGCAGTGGTTCACAAACTTGGGTCCACAGTGTTGCTCAGTGTGCCTATCTACCTCTCCTTTCCAAACAACATTTGCAGGTGTCGGTGGGGAGCACCACAGCCATTTAAAAGAGGTTTGGAAATCCCATCTGGCCTATCATCCATCCATTTCTGGACTAAAGAATTTACCTATGGCTGTATCTGTATAACTATGTCCATTAGTTTGCCTTTTGATAGGAGTATGGACAGCTTGATGCAAATTTAAGTATCTGAATTATTTCACAGTGTTTATTTAAAACAGCATTTGGGATCATATATCCTCTGGCCCACAAGCAGCCTCCTAAGACTGTGTTTGGTGAGTTCTACAGCCCCCTCAGCAATCATTCATTCAGTTAATGAATGAAATAACAACCACAACAAGCCATAGCTCCCTGCCTTGTTTCAACGATGATGATGATAATGATGATTTTTTTTTAAAGAACTCAAAGTGACCTTCCAGTTACATTCAATTTGTTTTGGAGGGCTGTTGGCCCTCTGAGACTAGAGAAATGGCCCCCAGCCCTCTGTTACTTGCTCAACTCTGATTTAAACTATGAAGTATTCTGACACCAGAGTGTTTCCTACTGAAAAGTGAAACCTGACTGCTGCCCATTCTAGTTCTTTTGACCCTATTGCTCTGCAGCATCCCTCCAATAAAAAAAGGTTTTTGTGCCTAGAAAATACCCATGATTAACTAAAGCAACATATGAATGTGAAGAGGTTGTACTAGAAACAAATGCATCAGGCAAAAGCAACATTATGCAAATTACACACACATATGCATACATTTCTTTATTTTGCCTGTTAATCATGGCAAGAGCTTCTATGCTGTGCCTTATACTCAAGGCATGGAGAATCCTACTTATTATGCACCTTTTTGGTTGGTGAGATTTTGCCAGGAATTGTCCATAGGCTTTTAAGTTCATTTTCAGTCAGTCAGGGTTGGTAGTTCCCATATTAAAACTGAAAATGGAGACTTGCAAAACTCTTGATTCCTTCACCCAGTGCAAAATTTTGGGCATCTCTGGGGACTTGGCATGGAACAAATGGAAGGATACAAACAGTTGCACACATTGTCCATGCATAACGATTGTACGTGTGATATTGTGAATGTTCTAAATGTTCTGTGCTGGAAATGCCTTTACATTCTTTCACAGTTAAGCATTTATTCAGCTATATATCATGTGTGCATATTGTTTATCAATACATCATCTAATGATGTGGCAATCTTTTTCCCTGCAGCTTTTCTAACGGCAAGTCACTGAAATACTTCCAACCTCTTCTCTAAGATGACAATATTTTCCCATCACATCTTGTTCCTTTTCCTAGCAATTCTGAATTTTCATTTTTCTTTTCATTTTCCTTTCCCTAAAAAAAAAAAAAATATGACATAAATTATTGCAAGTCATTGTGTCCTATATATAGCCATCATGTCTGTTTTCCATATGCTGAGACCTTGGCATGCTTCCTTAACACATTCCAGCTTAAAGCAGGCCTCACTTTCTTGCTGCCTTGCTTGCTCTCCCTCTCCTGTGAACACATGCTCATTTTTTTAAAGAAACAAAATCTGCACTGAGTGTAACTAAATGAGAGGGCTGTTTAAGTGCAGGTTAATTCTTTGAAAATTTAGTATCTTAGAGACAATTTACTATTCTGTTGTAATGATCTATTCTTGCCATATGCTAGGAAGGCTGTGAAGGGCCCCAGCATGAGAAAAGAAAAAGGCACCACAGGCTGCCATTCCGTTACTATGAGTTGGAGTGTGTGTTTGTGTGTGTGTGTGTGAGAGAGAGAGAGAGAGAGAGAGAAAGAGAGAGAGAGAATTAGGCTAAATTGTAGATCATGCTTTCAGATTTCTTATGAAAACTCATCCCCCTGTGTCTGTGAGGCCTCTGCCACACTGTAAAATTAATACAGTTTACCACTGGTTTAACCACCATGGCTCGATGCTATGGAATCCTGGGATTTGTAATTTGTTGTGGCACCAGAGTTATCTGAGAGAGAAAGCTAAAAATTGCACAAAACTACAAATGCCAGAAATGTGTAGCATGGAATCATGGCAGTTAAAGCGATGTCAAAATGCCTTAATTCTGCAGTACAGATGCAGCCTATGTCCCTATAGTACAGGGCTAGGCAACCTTTCCCCTTTAAGGGCCGAGGGACTTCAGCTCCCAGAATCCCAGGAGCTATTGGCCAACATGGGATTATTGGCCAACATGGCTGAGGCTTCTGGGAGATGAAGTCCCTCGGCCCTTAAAGGGGAAAGGTTGCCTACCCCTGCTATAGTACAAATGGTATGAGACTTTCTAGATCCCAGTCAGAAGCAGTGTTATAAGTGAACTGGTCCAAACCTTCCTCCAGAACAGGAAACGCACCAGTGGTAAAAGGACTCCTATTTCTTGTTCTCCACTCTAAGGTAGTGAGGGGGAACCACCAAAAGCCCACCACAACATGCTTGCAAAATACTTAGCTGATAAAATCACTGGTATCCACTCTCATGAAGTGCTTGAGGCAACCATTTATCTGGCACTGATGGATAAAGTTTCAGTTTGTTTTCCCTGAGGATGTGAACAAGTGATGGGAGTAGGCTGACTCACCTGCTCACTATACCTCTGCCCATCCTAACCAGTTAGTGCTGTGTGAGAGAGGCTGGCCAGTTGGGTGGTGAAGATTATAAATAATCTACGTACTTAAAAAGAAGGACATCGTCTGATTTTTTTCAAATCAGTCAGCATTGGATCTTTATTGAAAAAGCCTTCATTGGCTTCCTTCATCTTTCATAATATTACCAGTCTCTGATCTCCCATTTTTGGGGTAAGGGAGCCAATGTGGCATAATGGTTTGAATGTTGGACTATGACTCTAGAGACCAGGTTTCAAATCCCACTGGCCTTTGGCAAGTCACACAACCTCAGAGGAAAGCAACCACCACCACCTCCACCCCCCTGAACAAATCTTGCCAAGAAAACCTCATGATAGGTTTACGTTGGGTTCACCATAAGTCATAAAAGACTAGGAGGCAGAAAACAACAATCTCAAAACAGAACAGATCATCATAACTCCAGATTTCTTTGGATGAAATGGATTCTTTGGATATTTCTCAGTTTAGATTCAGGTTTGGGGACAGGCTGCAATGTGTTCCAGGGTAGGCTGCACAAGAAACTTTTCCTCTCAATTTCCAGAATCTTTTTTCCTTCACAATGGCAAAAACAAACCATTATGGTTCTATGTTCCCTTGTGGAGACAGGCTCCCTCACTCCTTTTTACACCTATTTCTATAGATATGGTACATTAAGAATTGTAAATGTAGTATATACTAGATCAGTATTAACTTCTGGTGTTATATTCCTGCATTTTCTGTTGTAGCAGGGAAGAAGAACTCTAAGGGTGGAATAAGTTTACAAAAGCTTTTTATAATACTGAATGAGGGCTCTTCCAGATGGGTCAATAGTTCTAGGATCTGTTAGGCTGTTTGTTTCTGTTTCACACCTTGCAATGGTTGTTCCATTATTGGAACATGGTGGCTCAGTGGTTAAGACGCTGACTCTGACGATTGCAAGATTGAACAAGTCAACAGTCCGAGGCTCAAGCACTGCGTGACAGAGTGAGCTCCCATCACTGGTCCCAGCTTATGCCAACCTAGAGTTCAAAAGCATGTAAAAGTGCAAGTAGATAAATAGGTACCACTTTGGTGGGAAGGTAACAACATTCTGTGTAGTCATGCTGGCCACATGATCTCTGAGTCATCTTTCACAATGCTGGCTCTTTGGCTTAGTAATGGAGATGAGCACCACTTCCTACAGTTGAACTTGACAATCTTGTCAAAGGGGAAACTTTTACATTATAATGGTTGTTCCTGCTCCAGCATCTAGTTATGCCTTAAATATATTGGGATTTCACCCACACTTTTTTCCTGCCTGAGGTGTGGTGTGTGGGCAAGGTTTCCGCCACTGTACCATTCTAGCACTATAATTGTAAAAGAAGATGGGAGAAAAACTGTGGCAAAAGTCACAACTCCATTTAACTTTCCATAAGTGGGACTCAGTAATACAGGATGAATATGACAGTTGATGCAGACATGAGAATTTACCCCTGTGTGTATTTTTCAAGTTCCTGGAACAGGAGGGGCAAAAAACCTCACTCCCTTCCTTAGGTTTAAAAACTTGCGGCTACTCCTGGAAATTCACAAGAAACAGACTGGGACAGGAGGTACTGGACATCATTATTGTTGTTTGTTGCCTTCGAGTCAACCTCAGCTCATGGGGACCCTGTGAATGAAATGCCTCCAAGCCCCAGTATTTTCTACCTCTCTGCTCAGGTCCTGTAGGCTCAGGCTCATGGTCTCCCTGATTGAATCCAACCATCTTCTATGTGGTCTTCCTCTCTTTCTACTGCCTTCTACTTTTCCCAGCATCATTGTCATTTCTAATAAGTCGTACCTTCTCATGACGTGTCCAGACTTTTT